ATCCCGGGATTAAATCCCGATCCCAGGATTAAAAAATCGTCGGGACTTTGCAAACCCTAGTGCCTATGTCTGCAAAGAGAACCACATTGTTTCTTCGTAACGAATTATATCACCATCCTCCTTTTTTACCAACTTTTATCAGCATTACTATTGCCATCAACACCGTTTACTTTATGGCAAGGTTATGAGATACTCTACCCCAGCCTGAATCACTCTCGATTAGTCGATTCAATGCACTTAACATTTAAAAAATGCAGTTACCTCAAAAAATTGTTTGATGTCAGCAAATGTACCATACGGTTGATGCTATCGACAAATGAATGGCGTGTCGCAATAAACTGAAGTATGCAGCAACCAATAAGCATAAATATGAATGAAGTGTCTCATTTCATGCTTTTTGAGGGTCATTCAGAAGAGAATTGTTCGAGCTTAAGATATCGCTTAGTGGTGGCTCTTTTCTTCAGACATACTCCTCAGCTCTCTAAATCCACCATCAATCACATCACTCTTCTATTCCTATTTTCTGGCCGCATTCACAAAACAACAAACAACACTTCATTTCCACATCACATCACAAAATGACCATTTTGAGTGATCATCAAAGACTACTTACTGCAGACACAAAATGACGTCTCTATAAACATAGCTCCTAAATGTAGTGAAAAGAATGTTGCCGCATATTTCGAATACTAGTTAAGAAACATTGCGGCGAACTCAACGTCAAAAGTCACATGAAATATGTGATATGGCTTTCAGATTTTGTTGTATTCTATCTCCACGTTGGGTTCATTGTCTTCAGCAAAAAACTTAAAGAAAGATCACTGAAAATCAAGATGAACAGAAAAATCACGAATGAATTAGATTAATTTTATTGTTGACCGTATGGATGCATAACAACACAATAGATATAAACGTGGACATTGGGCTAGACGCTTTGGAAAGTTTCAGTGTTATGAATGAATAAAAATAACAGCAGAAAACGGATAGTGAGTGTTTCAGGGGGTCAATTAGTTTCGAAAAAATGACGATCTATAAGATGTACTGCGGACAGGAAAAAACAACACAGATAAACATATAGGGAGGTTCGTGTTGTTATGCTATAAGTGAGCGTATAAATGAAGTGCTATAATGAGATGAGTACTGTGATGTGAACAGAGCAATTTTTGAAACGCTATTGTCGTGTGCATGAAAAACGATGATAATAACGTCATAATACGAGAAAAATGACGTTCATCAAAAAATTCAGTTACCAAATGAATCATAAAATTTGAAATCAGTTCAGTGAAATAATTAAACTCCACTCGAAATTAATTGATGAACCGGAAAATAACTTTAATCAAAAAGAATGCTCCTCACTATTGATAGTGAACTAACCAGATAAAGATAATAAAAACGAAGTCGAAACAAAAAAAAAACAAATAATTAAACAAAATAAACAAAAAAAAAGTGAAAGGATTCAAACGATAAGAAAGAAATAACATCAAAAAATGGAAATGCTTTCATATGTTTCACACATTACATACTACAATTGCAATAGATGATTCTCAAGCGATATTTATCGCGCTATTTGAAATTATCGTTCAAAGGCCTTTGGGTTTTAAGAGAAATTTTGAGCATATCGTGAATTTGAAAGAACACGCATTTTGCAGTATTGTTCAGCATTCAATTCTAACCACTCGGAATCATCACAAATTCATTCAGATGAAATCAGCTTCCTTTCAGCTCTATCAGATGCCTTCATCAACAAACGTTGATCACATCAATAAATTATAAAGCTAACACATTGAGATTATATCACTGTGACATATTGAGAGCTTATCACTTTATAATAACACAAAAATATTCAACACAAGAACAATTCTACGAAAATGACGAACAACAATCAAAAACAGAGTGAATATAGAATTTGTAAAAAGAAAAAAGATACATGCAACAACCAAACCAACGAAAACAAACAGAGTGAGATAAATTTAGCTCATCGGCTGAATATCAACAACAAGAACATATCAACACCGAACAGTCGACACCTATCCAACCTTCACTAATCATTTTTGACTGATTCAATTATACTTTTCTCCTGTTCATATCAAAACTAAAGACTCCGACCGTATTTAAGTAACCATCATCGCGATTTTTGTTTGTTTTTCAACACGATTCTTCGGCTTATTTATGGAATTCGGTCTCATTTTTCGTTACTATTTGACAGAAATGACTTCAACAACGCATCAGAATCACATTCAACAACGCTTACTGATCGACGATGATGTGCTAAGGTTACTGATATCAGATTTCAAAAACAACGAATTCATATCGTCAACGTTAAGAAACTTTCTTTTTACGTTCATCACATAATCTTTTATGCCACTTTTGGGCAAGCGAATTGAATATGGACAGCAGAAACCAAACGATCATTCCTGTCACTAACACTTGCAGACATTGTTGCAACAATGTGGCTCCCTGAATAGTTTCTTCTTTCAATTATCACTCACAATGAAGCTCCAAGAAAACCACAAAATAACAGTTAAGCAGTTACACATTATGAAATTATTAGAAAATTTTAAAAACGTGAATACGAAATGCAATGATGACTTGTAAAAAAGCGCAGAAATAGAGCATTAAGCTCAGTGTCGTTCGACGTCTAAAAAAGTTCAACCCTTGATAAACTCAGAAAAAGATGATGGAGGATCCACGAAAATAGCTGAGCGTCTCACTAACTAACCGGTTCTGCAGTTGCGCCTGGCTTATGATGAAGTTTAATCTTTTCATTGGCAAGAAAATCTTTCAACGGAGCTTGGATGTGTTGTCCAATATACGGTATTAATCTGAAATCTCGTTAATTTCTTCACGCAAACGGTTGCAAATTATCTCCAAACGAAGCGTATCACAATCAGGCTTTATTCCGTTTGACCACTACCGAATCAAATGATAATAACATAAAAACGGGAATTCATAATAATCCTCGTAAGTGTAAACGTCGATTCATAGATAACTTCAAGCAACTATATAAACGTATTGTTATAGACCGGGCACTTATTTGTTTTATGTGCACTCAATACAACATTAAAAATAAGAGGCGAGTTAGTAAATCTATGTGGGTACTGTCGTAAAAAATTCTTTCACATTTTGTTTCGCCACTCATAACTNAACATGAGATAAACTGATCAACGAAGAAAAACTCACTTCAGTTGATTGATGAGATTTTCGACGTGTTGTTCACTGAATAGTAGAACAACAAATAGCATCTGAAAGAATTCAAACATATGTTTGATGTCAATAATGATGACTGATCATTCATGTCAAAGGCGAAAAAGTTTGAACGTTCGATCAACTTGTTGAACATTAAACATTTATCAGCCACTATACACTTACAAATTTCATTTTATCGGAATGCCCACTATAAACTGGGAGAGATAAAAGAATGTAACCGGATTTGAGAATGATAAAAAATAACACAACACTCATTGTTTAGCATTCACCCAAAGGGAATTTAAAAACATTCAGTTATTGCATGAATCCTTCGGAATATTTAGCACAAAAAAGCCTTTCTTCATTATGTCTTGTCGTTACGAATAATCAAAAAAGGCAAGCACTTTGCACACTCACCTGAACATGCATTTTCACAATAGCCTTGCCAATCAGTGTTGCGCCGAAAAAGGTCCAAAATGGTACCAAAAAATGGCCACAAGTTATTCCAGCCAAATCGAAAAATGGATTCGGCACCTAAATTGGCAGTTTGATGAGGCTAAAACGAGTGAAACGGGGACTTCGACATTGTTATCAAAAGGAATTGCTATGGCATCTACATTGTCCGACGTGATATGATTCATAATATATAGATGGTTAAATAACAACAACAGTAGCATCATAATTCCTTGCGTGGAACGTGGCGAACACTATGATTCAGCATTCATGAACGTGACAAAGATTATGATTCAACATTCATGACATAATTTATAAGAGACTGAAAACGAGAAAGGACTCACCGACGCAAAGATGAGAATGCCAGGGAAACCAATATGGGATACGATTTTTTCTGTCAAATTTCTTAGACGATCCGAGAATGAAGGTCCTTGATCTCTAGGTCTTGTGCTGTTTATGTAGTTGATAAACTCTCTGAAATAACGAGTCAACAGATATCGAATACGTAGCGATATGAATGATAATGATGAAGAATGATCATTCCTTCACTTTATCTGAGGACAATTATGCCTTACTTGCAGAGCATTCAGCACTAAGTATAAGAGACATAGCAGTTTCACAAGATCTGACATTCAGGGAATGCATATGGAAGTAGTAAGAGTTACTCTGACATCCAACCCATTGGATGCAGTAGTAATCTCAGTCAAAAGTCTAAACTAACAGCTCATCTTAACTAGGATGAATGCTTGCAAATCAATACCGATATTCTTCGTCATCCGGCTCTTCACCAGAAATTCTGGCTGCTTTTGCCATGAAATAAGGAGGTAGTTCACCAAGTGCTGTTCCAGCTCCCCACATCAACGACTCAATCCGAACCTTCAACAAATACTAAAATATGCACCCGAAATACCTGATCACATCTGTATAAAACGCAGTTGAGATGGACGATACCTTGGTGAACTTCGCATCATGAATTTCCCTGGTATACAAAAAACACTTCGTACTACGAAAACTAATTATAGTGGACTTTTGTGATGGACAGAAAGAGACTGTCAAATGACATGTTTTATGGAAATATTTTTCAAGAACAATTTCCATCAGCGACCAAGAGACAGTCAAATAATCGTGACGTTAAAAATACCTTCGACATTATAGCCCATAACGTTATAACTGCCTTGCTCACAATGTCATGATCATCATGTGGGCATATAATTCTAAAATTAAAAACTCGTCGCTATCAAAATTGCGTTGTTGGTATTATAAATTGAACTTTAATTAACCATCTAATTCAAATATCAATATTTAAGAACTATCGATCATTTCGAATTTTCATGTAATGATAACAAGAATATGAAAAGAGATTCGAATAAATCGAACAAACTACTTGTCTGGATATGGTGGTTCCGGAAAATCCAAAGAGTTGCACTCGTACGCCGCCAGAGTTACAGATGCAATGTGTGGCCCCTTGAATGGAGTAAAATATCGAACGCTTTGAAGATGTGATCGTCAACAACATTTTGAGTTCGATTATCATTAATTAGTGGCGGAAGTGTCAATTTCTATCAAAGGTTTCGCGTGAAATTTTATCGAAGGTTACGCATAATGCGAACTAATGATGGTATTTACTAATGATGTGGTACCACAGATAAACAATCCAAGCAAACAATTAAGCATAATAAAAACGAACCAAATAAAGGATGAATGTATGTAAACCGGTACCGAGACCAACTGATGACAGTACACCAAGCCCTAACCAATAAAGGCAAAGAATGATTCGTTTTTCAAATCGGCGTAAATAAATCTGATGTATGCCAGGCATATAGTAACCATATATCAATGCTGCACAACTCAGTAACGTCATCAGAACATGCACTTTATGCTGCCAAAGGCTGAAAAACTTCTTTTCAACAAGAACATCCTTTAAAATTTGAAGGTTACTTCGTGAGCCATCACTCAAATTCAAATCAGAAATTTTCATATTCATTGCTTCTATCACACTTATTTAGTTGTTTTCGAAAGATCAAATCGGCCAGTTTTTGGAAGTTGAGCCGTAGTGAAATACGACAAATTAAATTAAGAGGTACTAAGCAGACGATAACTTACTAGTATGCAAACTCAATAAGTAGATGGAGTATTTCTCGAATGGCATAATGAGTTGTTTGGATGGGTCGCGACCATATAACGATTCTTTGTCGTTCAATTCTGTTGAGTGTGTTCACCGATGGACTTGGAACTAAACCACGTCCACTTGGTTTGATATAATAATCACTAAACATTACTAATGGCATGATGAGAATACAGAGCACGTAAATTTATTCAATCATTTCCTTTCAGTTTCGATAACCTTACGCCTCTGAGAGGATCAAAAACTTCAGTGGTTCATTTTAGAACATGAAAACTCGGTCAATCATTGAAATGCATGATTATAACCGAGACGAATAGAAGATATACCCGGTTTGCTTGGATGAGCCATCGAAGGTGACTTGTTTGACCGAGCTTGACGAAGGACTGTTTCGCAAAGAACCACTGCCTTCTTCATTCAATAGGTCGTCGAACGGTCGGGGATGACCATTATTGGCGATAACGGTATTATTATTGTTATTATTGATCTTCTTCTTACGACCCATTTCGTCAGCTTCTACCAATCGAGGCTGAATCAGTTGAGATACTACGATAACAGCGAACAGAAAGCACCATAGCAATTCAAAGGTAAAGTTACACTAAGCAATACAAAATGGAATCTGTTGTGGAAAAGCCATTGAAAAAGCCCATAGAAAGACAACTGATATGCATCTGGATAAAACGTCGTACTAAGAGCAGTCTTTGGAGGATTTTTAAGTAGTGTGGAGTTGTATAACTGATTTATTACGCTGTCAAACAGAATGATAAATAATTGATTCTCGTAATTCTAGAAATAAGCAGAAAAGGACTGAGAATGGGGTAGCGGTTTGCTAGTACAAAACAAAAAGTTTCATTCGACACTTGAACGGTTTATCTGCTGACAACACCACCATCAGCATCCACTAATAACAAATGCGTTAAATAGTACATGAATTAACATTCGGCAAAGCATTTAGAGAATATTGTTAATCGTATCCAGTCAGTTTTAAAAGATGGCAAGTCGATTACCAAAATTTACGCTTTCAACTAGTTCAAACATTCCAGTACAATAACGTCACGAAGTTACTGCCGTTAGAATGTAAACAATATCTTACTTAAACTCTCAATCTGCGCCAGAAATACAACATGATAACTGAATACGTTATTACATGTCAGCAATAGTTCCACGTGGCCATTTCGCCACCGCATCATATGATTCACATGCGATAAATCATGCATTGGGCATGCAGTGACTTTCATGAAACAGGGCGGATGACTGACTTATTGCTTTTTTTGAGGTAAAACCCAGAATGAGTCCTAGTATCAGCTGTGAGGAGTCGAAAAAATTTCCTTGACACGGTCCTTGTGCTGGCTGACTCCAGTAAAACGAAAAATTTGATGAATAAATTTTCATGGTAGTGAATTTTAATCCGTGAAAGAGAGAAAGCACAATTAACTATGCATCAAGCACCGATATTCATAGATTCAACGATTTCCACTATCAAAACGATGAAGCCTTGTTGACTCAACTTTACGGTATGCAGCCTTATTGACTCAACTCTGCACTTCAGTTTCATCCATACAAACACTCCATCTAACGCGACGTGTAACTATCAAATGGTCAGGTTCCAGGAAACAATCTAAAATCACTGAAAAAAGAAACGACACCTTTGTAATCATCATTGAGGCTGGAAACGGGAAGGGGATTTTGAAGAAGAACAGCACCGTTTGGTGAGGGTCGCAGATTCTTCCGAGTAGGGACCCCACATTTCATGACCTCCAGCTTTCGCAAAGTCACCTACAGCAAAACCCCTCTCAGCGGTAACCCTCAGTAACTGTCAAATGAATGTCCCCACATTCTCGGACTCGACCATTCATTCCATTCAGCGCTGATTCAAAACTTCTGACTGTAATCTCTGTTATAGCGCAGTGATATATCAGAGTGGAAATAAAATTTGGCAACGTGTGCATTTCATTGTAATGCCACATCATTTTTATGAGACCAAAGGCCATATTTTACACGATTCATGCAAAAGAAGTCAAGATGGTATACGAACAGTTCGCCAAGTGACCGAACTGGAATTTTTATTTGATACGTGTCCAGAAATGTGAATTTCAAGCGCATCAAACGGGCATAAATTTGGGCAATTCATACTTCGTTTTGTTGCGCAGATCCGGTAGAACAAAAAATATGTGCTAGAGATTTTCTAATTCGCTTGAACTATGAAAGTTCAAGAAATAGTTGAAATTGCTACCCACCCGACAGGAAAATTCGTGGCCAAAATATATATCATCCAGTAGATGAGATTGACTACCCTAGAAAACTGTGTCAAACTTTGATGGCAAATGTTAAGTTATGAGAGGTATGCCATTTGGCGTGATCAGTGGTGATATTCAATGGTCACTGTTCGTATATTATACTGAAGAAATACAATAAAATGAGGCATAGCTTACATTAGGATAATGGTGAAGTAGGAATCAAAATATTGCAGCATTGCCAGTTGCGGTATGGAATCGTATCGTATCGTAAGTGGAAGTTATGAATTCTTTCCATTCATNAATTGAAGGATTTCTTTTTCAAGCACACGAATTTTCAAGGTTCCTGCACCGATTCATCAAAGTCCAGTTATGAACAACAAGTGCTTCGCAAATTATTCTCATAAAATAACTGCTGATCATGCATCATTCCACTTCCTGGGCCAACGACCCGGATCAAGACTTATCCGGCCGAGTCGAGCCAGGATTTACCGGACTGGGCCAAGACCTACCATGCTGAGCCAAAATTTGTCGGGTGAAAGTATTTTGTCGCCCGGCATTTTCCACTTCAGTCGCAAGCAAAAGCAATATTTTTTCATTTTCCACTGACTATTTATTTTAAGTTACACTTTTGAAAACTAAACGAGCATTTTCCCTGAAAATTTCTCGATTTGTGGAGAACTGAATTTTCCTTCCAATGGACTATTTGAAACTGGCTTTGTAAAGTTTTATCCGCTGTTAGCGGATTAGCGATTAGCGCGCTAACTTATCCCATTAGCGTGTCCATCGCTGAGTATTATAATACTACAGGACACGTAAAAAGTAATGAATGAATAGCAAATGAGAGAATAGTTTACGAGATATTGTGTAATCTGAAGTGTCAAGCACAGTAAGAAGAGTGCAATTACTATGAAACAGGCACCTATGATTTCTTAAATCATGACGAAATACCATAGTCTCTGTATTGCCATTAGTACAGGCACATGTTTTCTGGAAATAGGATTGTCGGATGCCAGTTAATTAATTGGCTACTGATAAGCATCAGTGGGCATATTCCGAGATTCGTGGTTCAAGGAGAGGTGATTTTTTTAGCAGACTTTCCACTTGCAAACTAAACTGCTCCAATGTGATAAATGAGAAATCGATCCATTAAATCAGTGATATTGTACTAATGGTCACAACACTAGTCAACATGTGAGTGGCCTTTCTCACTGACGATCTGAAGTTGTTTTATGTAGCCAAAGCAAGTTTCTGAATCATGACGGGATATCGTTGTTCATTTTACATTGGAAGAGAGGTTGATATCATGAGCATTATTATACAACATTTCTGATCGAGGAAGTAGGTGAGCGATTAGATTGGTCGAAAAAAAAAGAACATATAAGTCCATTGCAGTTCTGTTTCAACTTCTATGTCTCACCTCACAAAAAGGATAAGTTGGTTTGATAAATGTAAATGAAAACGTTTAAACTCTGCCGCAATATCGCTTTTAATTTGGTTTATTAACTTAGAAGATCATTGTAGTGGTTAGTGATGAATGATGAATTTATTGTGCATAATATGTAGTTGATGAACAGATATGAATGGAAGGTGCTAAATAAATTTGTTTATATGGGTTAATCTGTTACAGTGATATGCACATGGTTTTTCGCGGTTTATGATCTGAAAAGGTAATGCTCTTTGAAGGTCATCGAAATAATTATTGTGTAATCATCAACAGCAAACAATTTTGTGGTTTAGGTCCTATTCGAATAATATTTTTGAATGCTGAATAGTGTTGTTTCAATCGGAAACCAAAACCATCTCGAAAATGATATTCATAATACTTGTAATAACCGTTCTTGAAAGTGCTGTGAAGTATTCAATATTTCATCAATTGTTTAAACTGATGGCTGAACGAGGGAAATGCGAAACTTCAAATTGGGAGGAAGGAGAAAAAATGCTAAAGATTCACGATTCACACTGCATTCACGATTCAGCAAATTAAGAAGCAATGAATATCAATAACGAGCCGCTTGAGATTCGCCGGCATCGGCACCGCAAAAAAAACGCTTCTTGAACTCATTCGTCAGCGGAAATGCCACGACGGAACAGCGAACTGTGAGATTATCCGAATTGTGATGAAAAGCAAATATACTATTCTGCTCAACGTGAAACATTCATTGAATACAAGTGCCTTTTGAAAAAAAACCCTTCTCTCGCATGGTTGCGAAAAATAAAAGCCTTTTCGAATAGACTCTCCTCTTTCCCAAATAGGAGTCCTCATTTGGACGGCTACGAAAGGCAGAATCATGACACCAACCCTAAATAAGTTAGTGCTTTTTGAGCAGCGGAACGAATATAATTGTCATGAAATGTTCGATTCGGATTACTTTTTTGCTCAAATGTGGAATTATTTTAATTGTAAAGCTCGCAAAAGTTATTTTTTGTTATTATTGCATCGGAAGTTCATATGGTACGTCGGTGTACGATGGGTGTCAATAAAAATTCAATATCAACAGATTTAATCCTACAATCAAACCCTAAAAACGATAATAACAAATCCGGTTTCGATCATCATAAGCAGCCAATTATGCGTCAGTGTACTACTGCCACCAAGCAGTCATGTGAAATCTCTCGATTTGAATCATCAACTGCATTATTCAGTTACTGCTTCAGTTTTATGTGTTTATTATCATTCATTTCAGTAACTGCTAATCCTTATGTGATCGTCAACATTTCATAGCACTATTCGTTTATAGCATCCATGTATATCTGGATGGTGTGATTTGAGTGATAAAGATTGCAGATGATTACAACCTTATTATTTGCACTAACAAGCACGTTGGTGAGGCCAGTGCAATCAACTCCATCTGTGATACAATGCCCAATTAATATCAACATGATTGGTGCTGCACAAGGATTTCCATTCGGAGGTGCTTTCACTGCTGGTGGAGAATAGTAATTTGATTTAATTGCGTTGAGAATTTATTTTTTTTATTTGGTATCATCAACATTTTCTATTATGCTAACATTATTCATTCAATTTCATTGACGGTACAGTTGAAAGGCAATGATTTTTTGCAACGATAGCAGTTGAAAGTTCATCATTGTTTCACCGATCATCTTTGGATGTTAATCCAATTCATCTGTAATGATCAGAGACTTAACGATCTTCATGCATCGTTTTCAAAGGCATAGTTTCATGACAGTCTCAGATCGTTGCTTTTTACGACAAAATCGTTGTTTTTTTCAGTTGCGGAAGTGGTTCCTTTCTACATTTCTACTCGTGTTGCGATGACAATCCGTTCAGATGCTGCTTTGAATTTGAAACATGGGCAATGTAAACGTTTGAAACTCTATTTTTCTACCATCCTCTGGATGTTCATAGCAATTCCACAATAGTTTTGAGCGTTCACAAACCTTCATCTGATGTACTTTTATCATCTAGTGCAGTGTTTCACGATCTCTTTCGTATCAGTGCACCCTTCCGACATTTCAAGAATTCAGTTTCGATTTCCTATTGAGGTTTCTGGAACATCAAATGACGAGAGGAAGTAGCAAGATTGCCCGTATATTAAGTGCAGTATGAAGTAGTTTGCAACTAATGCATTTGAATCGTTCGCCCTGAAGAGTTTTGTGTTGTTCACAGTCATTCTCGACGAATCACATTCTTCTCTCCATTCACTAAGCATTCCCTCTGCTTTCTACACTGACCCCTTGTTTTGCGTATTTGCATTCCACCGCTACCTAGGATAATTCACTCACATCTTCACGTG